AAGAAAATGTTTCTAAATCCATGCTATGGTAAGTGCACACGCTAAGCTTCTGTGCACTTTCTAAAATCCACATTGTGGTAAGTGTGCACGCTAAGCACTCTGTGCACTTTCTCTGAGTTGGCTTAGGCCCCAGTACTCGCCTTGGGCTCCACTCAACTAATGTATCTCTGTTGATACATTTCTGAGCAGGGTGAGCTCCCCTCACCTCAGAGGGTTGTCTTTGAGCCTGCCGCACCCGATTGAGTGTCTGAGGACTTCTGGGCATCTGTGAGCAGATGCTTCGGAATCTGTTCTGTGAGCGTGCCACAGTCACTTCGGGTCCCTAGGCTGGCTTAATACAGCCTCGGTTACCCCTTAAGCAACGGTGTTTCTAAATCCATGCTATGGTAAGTGCACACGCCAAGCTCTGTGCACTTTCTAAAATCCACACTGTGGTAAGTGTGCATGCTAAGCATTCTGCACACTTTCTAAAATCCTGTATGGTAAGGGTCACGTGCTGTCAACCTCGTTCCCTTTCTCTGAGTTGGCTTAGGCCCCGGTTCTCGCCTTGGGCTCCACACAACTAATGTATCTCTGTTGATACATTTCTGAGCAGGGTGTTGCTACCTAAGGTCTGTCGAGTCAGTTCTTTGAGCAGGTTTATTCAGAACCAGTGGTAGCACCCCCTGGGTGACAGCCCAGGGTCTGGTGTGGTTTTTTAGACACCTGGCCGTATCCCCTTAAAGGAATCTCTTCTGATTCCAAGCTTTGAGCTCTGCCCTAGGCTTGGGCTTCCTAGCCCAGCCCTTAACAGGTAAGTTCTTTTAGGGTATGCAGCTCAGGCCCTTGGCCGAAGGGGATAATGTCACTGACAGCCGTCAAATGTCCTTTGGGGCAACTCCCATGGCTATGGTAGAGTTGGTACTTAGTGCTCGCCGTGGTTTTCTGGCATGCACTCCCCTCAGAATGGTGGCGTGGATATACCATTCCCCATAGCGACCCCTAGAGGACGCAGTTCGAAGTTTCCTCCCTTGAAAGGGAACGTCTCAGGTTACGTATGTAACCATGGTTCCCCTTAGAAGGGAACGAGACACTGCATCCTCTAGTTTCCTTGCCATGCTGCGGACGCAAGCTTCAGACGAAGAAGCGGATAACGTGTTATCCCGGCGCCCTTTTATATTGTGATCACGTGATCAGGGTAATGACGTCATAGGCTGTCGCCGGCCAATGTTATTGTCGTTTTTAGATGTATGCTTCAGACACCGGTCACGCTGAAGGCGTTCCCCGTAGCGACCTCTAGAGGACACAGTGTCTCGTTCCCTTCTCAGGGAACCATGGTTACATGCATAACCTGAGACGTTATACGCATGTATGAATATCTATATCTGCAACAGAATTCTGCAGATGATTTTGCTATATTAACATGATACAGGATGAAGGCATTAACTATAACAACATTAAAAAGTTACCATAGTTTAAAAAGCTGCATTAATGCATTTAAAACACAAACAAACACATTCTCACCTGTGAAAAGGTATCCAATTTTTTCTTAACTTACTGCTTTTTACTGTGAGTGACAAAATGTTGAACGTTCAAAGATGGCGGATGTGTTTGGAGTGGTCGAATGTGGGATCTACGTATACATGTCTATGACCCTAACAGTCTACTCTAATGAGAGTTAGTTAACACGCAGTTGCAAATTAATGAGAGTTAGTTGACATAAAGTTGCAAAGTTCCTTAGAGTTAGTAGAGTGGACAGAAAAGATCTGTTCACTAAAAGCTTCTTTAGGGAATACAAAATGGTTCTTCTATGGAATTGCTATAAAACCCTCTTTTGCAGAGTGACCAATATCCTACCATTGTGACGGAGCACCACGGCCATGTAATCCTGGGTTTTTGAGCTGACATAGACTAGAAGGCTGGGAGAAGTGGAGGTGCTGAAGCTGAAGGTCAGGTCTTCACGTGTCAGGTTGGTCTCGACAGGAAGGTTGTGGATAACACTCTTCTCATCCAGGCTGGAGGCTGCAGCCACCACTTCAGGTACCAGATTATACTTGACCAGTGTTCCTGCCTCAAAGAAACCACCAACATCTGGAAAATATTTAAACAACCAATCAGATTTGAGGGTTAGGTAAATGCCAAAAGAAATACAATCATATAGTGTACTGATACTTTTATTTAGTAAAATGTTTTTTAAAAGTTTCTTATGCTCACAAAGGCTGAATTTATTTGATCAAAAATACAGTAAAGACAGTACAGTATTACTGTAAAATATTATTAAAAAGAGAAGGTCTGCACACATCCAAAAACTTATTTTAAATGCAAAATTTATTTTCGTGCGCTCGAAATACTTTCTTCTTTGCGAGACAAACATTTTCTCCACAAAACTCAGTTCGCGCGCGTGCAAAACACACTTTTGCGCTCTCAAAATATGATCTTTCGCGTGCAGAATTGCAGCAGAGATGTAATCCCATAGATCACGGCCACTGTAGTCAATGCTTGTGTTTATACCAGCTAGCCGCGGCATGTTTCAAAAGCGGCTCTCCACGCTGCTTGGCTAAAAATAGTCTTTTGTGAGTTGTCACAGCGTGGAGGACGGAACCAAACCACGTCAGAGCCGTAAGGGGTAACGGTAACATAATAGCTACACTGATCGTGTGCTGCTTTTAAATGAACATTTATTTATAAAACAAAATATCTTCTTTGGCCATATTAGCCTACTAAATAGCATTAATTAGCTTTACTCCTTTCAAATTTTATCTGTAATGTCACCGTTTCTGTCACTGCAACTTACTGATCAGGCGAACACACACACACACACACACAAATGAAATCGTCTGCCTGATGAAAAAATTTATTTAAAAAATTTTAGTTAATATTTACATAATTTATGATTTATTTTAACCACCCGCAAATAATCAGAATGCATTTTTTTATTACCCGATCCGCGGATTATCCGCAGCGCCCGTGGATATAACCGTGATCGAACTACTCCGTTTTGTTCTTTCAGTAGTTTAAATGTTTCTATTTCTTTT